GGAGGTTGCAGTGAGCTGAGATGGCGCCATTGCACTCCAGCCTGGGTAACAAGAGCGAAACTCCGTCTCGGGAAAAAAATAATAATAATAAAATAAAACAAATTCTGTGTTTAGCTATAGATTAGTTAATATACAGGCTCTGGCCTGCCTTGCTAAGTTGGGGAAGTTCTCCTGGATAATATCCTGAAGAGTGTTTTCCAACTTGGTGTCATTCTTCCCGTCACTTTCAGATACACCAATCAGATGTAGATTTGGTGTTTTCATATAATCCCATATTTCTTGGAAGCTCTGTTCATTTATTTTTACTCGTTTTTCTCTAATCTTGCCTTCTTGCTTTATTTCATTGAGTTGATCTTCAATCTCTGATATCGTTTCTTCCACTTGATTGATTTGGCTATTGAAACTTGTGTATGCGGCTGGGCATGGTGGCTCATGCCTGTAATCCCAGCACTTTGGGAGGCCAAGGTGGGCAGATCACAAGGTCAGGAATTTGAGACCAGCCTGGCCAACATAATGAAACCCCGTCTCCATTTAAAATACAAAAAATTAGCCAGGTGTGGTGGTGGGCACCTGTAATCCCAGCTACTCGGGAGGCTAAGGCAGGAGAATCGCTTGAACCTGGAAGGCAGAGTTTGCAGTGAGCCATGATTGTGCCATTGCACTCCAGCCCGGGAGACAGTGAGAGACTCTGTCTCAAAACAAAACAAGAAATTTGTGTATGCTTCACGAAGTTCTCGTGCTGTGTTTTTCAGCTCCATCAGGTTGTTTATGTTTTTCTCTATGTTGGTTATTCTAGCTAGCATTTTGTCTAACCTTTTTTAAAGGTTCTTAGCTTCCTTGCATTGGGTTAGAATATGCTCCTTTAGCTCAGAGAAGTTCATTATTACCCACATACTGAAGCCTGCTTCTGTCTATTCATCAAACTCACTCTCCATCTAATTTTGTTCCCTTGCAGTGAGGAGTTGTGATCCCTTGGAGGAGAAGAGGCATTCTTGTTTTTTGGAGATTTCAGCTCTTTTGCACTGGTTTCTTCCCATCTTCTTGGATTCATCTACCTTTGGTCTTTGAAGTTGGTGACCTTTGAATGGGGTCTCTGGGTGGACGTCCTTTCTGTTGATGTTGAAACTATTTATTTCTGTTTATTAGTTTCCCTTCTAACGGCAGGCCCCTTGGCAGCAGGTCTGCTAGAGTTTGCTGGAGGTTCACTCCATACCCTGCTTGCCTGGGAATCACCAGGGGGAGCTGCCAAACAGCAAAGATTGCTGTCAGTTCCTTCCTCTGATAGCTTCATTTCAGAAGGGTACCTGCCAGATGCCAACCACAGCTCCTCTGTATGAGGTGTCTGTTGGCCCCTACTGGGAGTTGTCTCCCAGTCAGGATACACAGGGTCAGGGAGCCACTTGAGGATGCAGTTTGTCCCTTATCAGAGCTCAAGTGCTGTGCTGGGAGATCTGTTGCTCCCTTCAGAGCTGCTGGGCTGGGATGTTTTAAGTCTGCTGAAGCTGAACCCACAGCTGCCCCTTTTCCCAGGTGCTCTGTCCCAGGAAAGTGGGGGCTTTATTTATAAGTCCCTGATGGGCTGCTGCCTTTTTTCAGAGATGCCCTGCCCGGCAAGAAGGGAAACAAGTGACAGTCTGCCTGAAGAGGCCTTGCTGAACTGCTGCGGGCTCTGCCCAGTTGCTGTGTAAACTTCCTGGTGACTTTGTTTACACAGTCGATGTTAAAACCACCCACCTGAGCCTCAGCAATGACAGATGCCCCTCCCCCCACTGAGCTCATAGAAGGGCTTTTTGTATTCATAGGTGTTTTATTTGTTTGTTTTTGAGATGGTGTCTTGCTCTGTTGCCCAGGCTGGAATGCAGTGGCATGAACTTGACTCGCTACAACCTCCACCTCCTAGGTTCAAGCAATTCTCCTGCCTCAGCCTCCTGAGTAGTTAGGATTACAGGCACCCACCACCACGCCCAGCTAATTTTTGTATTTCTAGTAGAGACGGGGTTTCACCATATTGGCTTGGCTGGTCTTGAATTCCTGACCTAGTGATCTGTTTACCTTGGCCTCCCAAAGTGCTGGGATTATAGACATGAGCCACCACACCTAACCAATTCATAGGTTTTTAAATTATGGATTCAATTTTGGAGCTTGGTATTGGTCTGGTCAGGGTTTCACTTTATTTTTGATTCAATCTTGGGAGGTTCTGTGTTTCCAGGAATTTATTCATTTTCTCTAGATCATCTAGTGTATATGAATAGAGGTGTTCATAATAGTCTCAGGACATTTTATATTTCTGGGAGATTGGTTGTAATGTCACCCTTGTCATTTCTGATTGTGCTTATTTGGATCTTCTTTTTGTTAATTTAGCTAGCAGTCTATTAATTTTGTTTGTCTTTTCAAAGAATCAATCTTTGGTTTCTTTGATTCTTTTTTTTTTTTTTTACTGCATTTTAGGTTTTGGGGTACATGTGAAGAACATGTAAGATTGTTACATAGGTACACACATGGCAGT